TCAGCAGCCCCTGCCTGCTGCCAAACTAGAGAGCATCCCAGTGTTCCTCCTGAATTCTTCACGCTTTTCCCCAAAGAGGATGCCAGTGTTTCGGGGCTGCAGAGAGGAACAGCTCTTCTGGAGGAGTCCCAGACACAACCGGATGGCCCAAGGAGCCACCTCAGGGACGCAGGTCCCAAGCATGTACTCTTCTCACCTCTGCGGGCTCCAAGAATTGAAGACTTTACATCCCTCACTGCTGGTGCTCTGGTTGGTTCTGTGGTTCACAGGCAGTGAGCAGCTAAGCGGAGAAGTTAAACATCAGCTGGTTACATGGATGGCTGCAAGCTACCTCTCTGCAATGGCCAGCCACACTCCTGGCCCGGTCCTCTCTTCGGCAATTTGTGGAGCAGGCGCGGCAGGAACACAGCCATTTGAAGAGGTTCAAAACTGGCGACGCTCAAATACAGGATCTGACCAAAACCCAAAGTTGGGCCTTGCAAAATACCACAGAAATCCATCAGGGCATTTTACTCCAACTGAACTGCACAGGGTCCAAAACTGGTACCACCACATCATCGTAACAAACCCAACAGCAGACCTTCCTTTACAAAGCAACGAAGAAAATCTGGCAGAAAAATGATGCAGAGAAAGCATCACACTAGGTAAAGACCTGCCACAGGATCAGGAACTGGGAGTGTGGGTACAGACACTACAGGAGAAAATTCAAATATACAGAAAGCCTGATCCTGAGCAGATGCCAAGAGAGAAAAAGGCGGGAGAAAAAAAAGCACTATTTTGACAAAACCTATGTAACTCGTCACAGCAAAGTACTGCCGAATTGTTACTGCTTGATCGCCTTTTAGACAGTTGAAGGCTCAAGTGCAATGGTTGGAGAAGACAGCTATTTGCAAATATGAGCAGGCTCTGATGTACCAGGAGTACCTTACAGGCACTAGCTGGAGAAGTCTTATGCTTTCAAACATCTCTTCACTCAGGCAAAACGAAATAAAAATTAAAAAAAAAAACAAAACCAACAAAAACGAAACAAACATACTGGCACCTCTTCTTTAGCCCTGTAGAAACAGCACAGCTGCTGTACAAGGAGCTGGAGCCCCTGGGTTCATGCATCAGCAGACTGGTGAACACAGAACCAGTGTTCCTGCTGATGCACAAGCAGGGAAAGAATCAGCTCCTGGGTCCTACTACGAACGCTCAACTCCTGAGTCCCACTAGGAGGCACAGCTGGCTAAAAAAAGTGCTTTTTCTTGTAAAACATACTAGCTTGGTCTGGAGTCACTGGAAGCAATGGACACTTTGGTGCCTCCTCCCCCCGCATCGTCATCAGAAATATAACCACCCCAATCTGAACTGCTCACATCGAGAAATCTAGCTAACTACCTCCGGGCTCATGAACTGACCATGATACTAGGGCTCCTTGTAGCAGCTGGTACCTAGGAGGTGCAAAGTGCCTCTAGGAGTGCAGGAAAAACCAAGGCATGCAGATTTGAGGAAGCTCGGAGAGGCACATGGGCAAACTCTATGGGTGAACTGGGAACACTCAAAACACAGACCCTTTGAAGTGAGGCCCAGGATCCAGTGGAAAGAGAGATGTGGCAGGGTGAGCTGCACACGCACCTTGCATGTGCAACTGAGGAAGAGGAAGAAGCTATGGGGAGGCTCCCACCCTGCAAGTCTACATCTCTTGGTTCTGAGTCCATATGAGAGCATCTCTGAATCACTCACTTCTCAAACTCTAACACAAAGGGAATCCAAAAATAGACACTTTCCAAAAAGTTACAAAACGGTCTGAGTTTGCGAGGCTCGCAGCCGCACTGAGAAGTCAGAGGTTGAGAACAGGCACGTCAAAGAGGTCACAGACGCCTTCACTCTCATCCAGGTTATAGATGTAGTCGTGATCTCCAGGCGGAGGGGAGAGGCGGAGCAAGGGAGCAAACACTGGAGGAAAGAGAAGCCCAGGGTTGGTTACAAAACTCAGCACTCGTGCACCTAGCCAAGAGCTGCCAACGGGTGCCGAATTGCAGAGCCACGTGGAGGCCACCTCACACTAACAGTCTTTGAGGTTGCTTCCAATCAGCCTCTTGATACAGAAGAGACAGGCTCTCCTGGTCCTCACACCTCTCAGGGACTGGCAGGACAGTGAGAACGGAGTCTGTGTCCAGAGCCCAGAAAAGATGAGGGCGAGTCTGCAGTCACAAGGTTGCCAGCTGGATAAGGTCACACAGCATGGTCTTCCTCCCCTGGGAAGGCCATACCATAAGGGGGAGATTCAAAGACTCACCTTCAGATGACATCAGCTCTTCCAGCAGCTCAGAGTTCATGCATTCTGGGGAAGAGACAAGCATGGTTAACCAACACACTCTGCTTTCCAGGCCTGCTCCTGTGTAGTTCCCCACCCCTCCCAGGGTGCTCCTCATGCTTGTCATCCCCTCTCTGGCTAAGGCACAGCATGTGCAGCAGGCAGTGGCAAAAGGAGGCTTGGGCCTCCTGCCATGGGCAAAGGGAAATCGGTTTCAGACAATTCACGCTGCATCAAAAAAAAATTCTGCAGGAGGTTTCTGCCTGCTTTAGCTCAACCATACGCCAGTCTGCTTCATATGACGGGTTGGGCTTTACCCCTGCACTGGCATGCTAGCTGGTGCCCCAAACTCCTCCAAAGGAAACTTCAACGTGCACCTGAAATTGAGCTGGTAAAGCCTGACATATTCAGAGTCCCCCATTTCCTACCAACTTTACTAAGAGTGAGGAAAAAAATAAGGAACAAATGAGCTGTTCTGGGAGCAGTAGAACTAACGAACCTCCAGTTTCCTCCAGATGCGTGTCCTCTGTCCCCTTAATTTGCTCCCCTTGGCCCATGGCTATGCTGTGGTTAATCCAGCCATATGCCCTGACAGATTCGCTGGCTACTGGCTGCCAAACAGAGCTCTGCACATCTTTCCTTAATGGGCCATTAACTATGCTCTCCCCGCTACTGCTTGCACAAAACTGTAAAAAAAATTGTCTCTGAACCATCATTCCTTCCTTCAGCATTGTTACTCTTGGCTATAGTAGGCTCACGAGGCTCGCGAAGGGCAGACAGACAAGCACTCAAGACAAAGCACATGCAAGTCAATCGCTTTTCTTTAAGAAACAAAGTGTGTGAAAACAACTTTCTGAATACCTCTCTCACTTTACCAAGTTAAGATAGGGAATATCTAACTCAATCTCACTGGGTTGATGAGATACTACCCACACTTGAAATAAGCTCTCATGAGAGAAACTTAGATGAGCCTGTTTTTCAAGACACTTATCCACTGCAGGCTATTTCCCAGAGGACAGGAACGTACCTGTAATTCAGCGCCATGAGATGAAAGAATTTCAACACCAAGCGACTAGGCAGGACTAATACCAGCTTCAATAAATAGCAACTAAATGCAGAACCTGCATTCTTAGATCAGGGCTGGTAGTATAGCAGCCTGTGTATATGTGTGTGTTGAAATTCAATTTTTTTTTTCCAGGATATGAATTTAAAACAAGCAGTTATTAAGCAGCCATTTAAAAGAGAGAAAACCATGCAGAAAAAGTAATTTCAACACGAAACACTAAGGAAGAACCCCAGGCTTTTGCAGTTTAAACTGCATAGCCTTAAAGCAGCCACCAGTGCTGGGGCAACATTACTGGGATCACACAGGGATGAAAGAGGCTACACGGAGCACGCTGCAAGGCCCGTTTCTCTGAGCTCTCTAATGTTGCTTTTTTCCAGTCCTGAGCTTTGCCTCTGTAGCTGTCGACTCTGTTTTGTCTTTCACTCCTGGATCTCTATCTTCCTCCTACAAACTGGGAAGAATTCTCCATAAAACAACATACATTACCATAGACGGCAAACATCTCTTTTTTAATAGCATCCACATAGTCACATAGTACAGCTAGTTTGTGTTAAGCTAGATCTTCTACAAGCGCTGGGGCCTTGCAGCAGTTTATGTCTTGCATCGCGAAGTCAAATTTACTCTTCAGATGTACTCAGTCATTATCAAGACCTCATCCCCTATCTAGAGCAGCGGGTGCTGGGCAAGGAGGAAGGGCATTCTCCAGGCCGACTGCAGAGCCCAGGGCTCCCAGCACACAGATCGGGATGCTCGCACGTGTGCATTTGGGACTCTGGGGTTTTTACACACAGGCAGCACTTTCACAAAGTACCTGCTAGAGCACAGAACTAGGGACTGTTGTTGTACACATCCTGTCACCACCACAAAAGTGCTTGTGTGTACTCAGCTCTGCCTAGCTGCCAGGCTAGAAAGTATTCTGCCAGCACTGAAGGGAAATAAATGTGCAGACAAAAACAGTTTCCCAGTTTAAGCTTATCTTAGACCAAATTCCTTCACCTCTCCTGCCCTTAGCCCAGAGTCCATCTCCCCGTTAGGCAGTGAGACCCAGACATTCCTTGGGCAGAGGCAGAACTCCTAACACAAGTAACAGCATCCCCTTCCCTACTCCTCCAAAATTACTAGCACCACGAAAACCACTGAGGACTATTTCAAAGAGAGAAGACTACCTCCCTAGATTATTTGCTTGAATTAGCCTGGGGCAGGCTATAGCTGAAACAAGACTAACAGGGATTTTTCTTTTACATGGTGCAGACAAGTTGGAGAAGGAGTATGGAAAGCCAGAGCACAGATTAGTGTTGGCATGGGTATAGGAAAGCCCTCGTCTGCACACCATAGGGCAAACTCTAACAGGTTGCTAGCAACATGAAGACAGAAAAATACATACAGAAACCAGTGATTTTAAGAGTGCCTAACTACAAGCAGGGAGCCAGCAGCCACCAACGATCACAATTACCTTACAAAACCACATCCTCAAAATAATCCAAAAGGGAGTGAACAAAACAAACTCCCACTTCTGTGGGTAGACGGGCAAAGAACAAAGCCGCGGTCAGGGAACGAACATACCTCTCGTTGGATCAAACATCTCTGACAGCTCTTTGGGAAGTTCCAGTACTGCAAATACAACAAACCAAATGGTTTGCATCGTTACATGAAGAGTTTGAAGTGCTTTACAGCATAATCGCCTACTATCCTACTGTACTCCTTATGTACCCAAATCATCCTATGTCATCCAGAAATTCTGCTCCCACACCCCATGTCACATATTTCTGCTGAAATGGTAAGCAATAAAATACTTAAGCTCAGCTACTTTAAAATAAATCTGTAGGAGCCCCGGGACATGAACATGTTATCACAGTCAGCAGCTCTAGAGTAACTGCCTGCATGTAAGCCTCATATGGGGTCAGCTTCCATACAGAAGCTCGATTTATCTCGTGTAGGATAAGGGCATGCCTTTAGAGAGTCAGCACAGGCCCACTGGGATATGGTAAGCTATACACACATCAAAGGCCTAATTCCACAATCAAGACTACTCCAAGACGAAGACGGACAGCTCACGCTTCTCGGATACGTTAGCAGCAGAAGCGTGAAAAAAACATTGCGTGAGCTACATTTAAGCAAGATTTCCCCTTCTAACCATAACCCTCTAACCTAGAGTGTTTCTGCAGCGAAGGTAGGCTTCAAAACATTAAGGCAGCATGTCTTACCTAGAGGATGCTTTTCTCTCCTTGGGCCAGCCTGCCATTTCCTGGCATAAAGCTCAAATGTTCCTTTATTAAAGCCCATTTCACCTCACCAAGCACATCAAGGAGCTCCCCAAATATACACTGCGAGATCATTAAGACCACAAGATCACTAAAGATAAAAGTATCCCTGAGTAAAGCAGGAAAACAGAGACAAGAGCTCTTCTAATAAAGGAAAACTCCCCATGAGTTACAACAAAGGTGCTCTCAGTGATGGTCAGAAATTCTATAGCTCCATGCAGCCTCAAAAATTGGACCTTGCACTACAGAAGGGACTGAAAGGGAATAATCCTACCTGTAACAGCCAAGACGTGTGTCATGCGAGTGTCCCTTGCAGATTTTCTGGTACCAACATCACAGAAAGCAGGAGGACACTCGACATGACACAGTCACTTTCTCACCAGGTTCCCCAGCACCCTCACAGGGAAATGCCTACTCATCCCCTGCAGAGTCTGGCTGACAGCAAAGGCAGAACGGAGTTCAGCTCCTTCCTCCAGGCCCAGCAGCCTTTCCCTCACTCCAAGCAGCATGCTTTTGGAGCAGCACATGAAACCAGGGTGCATACTCACTTTCTGTGGGGTTGGGCTTGATCGGCTCAAAGGAGGTAGAGGGGCTGGGCAGGACGGAGCTGCTGTCCAGCGAGGCAGAGGACTGTAGCGGCTGGGTGTCTAAGCTGGCTGGCTGGCCAGCCGATGCGGACGTGTTACTGAGGGGGTCAAAGTCACTGCTGCTCTTGGACTCTGCTGCTGAGACACTGCATTCTGGAAAAAGCCACAGACACACACAGGAATGTCATCTCCCACCAGCCCACAGCAAGCAGCTAGAGCACAGACCGAACCCTCACTGGCAATGCTGACCAAGCACAAACAGCTGCAGAGGAAGAACGCTTCTCGCTTTCACCAAGCAAAAATTCCCAGGTCCTCCCGCAGTTCTGCTGGAGAACAGTCTTGGTGGTGCCAGGCTCCACATAAGCCAAGAGTACACTCTCACAGCAATTAGCACAAGCCAGGTAGTAAGCTACACCAGAAGTGTGGCCAGCACACTGAGGGAAGTTACAATCCACCTGCTCGGGGCTGTGGCTGCACTTGGAATACTGTGTCCTGCTTTGGCCATCCTCCAGTTCAAAGAAAGATGTAGAGAAGATCCAGCTGAGGGCTACTGAGATGGCCACGGGTGTAGGGCACATGGCCTGCGAGGAGGGGTGGAGGGAGCTGGCCTTGTTCAGTCAGGCAAAGAGAAGTCTAAGGGCAATCTAACAGCAGCCGGCAGCTACCTGAAAGGCAGTCACAAAAGTTAAGAACTTCTCACTGGTGCCAAGCAATGTAACATGCAGAACAGGTGCGAGATGCAGCTCAAAGGATCCAGACATCAGGAAAAAGGGATTCACAGAGGGAGCTGCAGCCCTTGAAGAGCTCACTAAGGAAGCTGGGGATCTCCACCACTGAAGGCTTTCAAAATTGGGCTGGACAAAGCCACAATCAACCAATCCAGAATTTTTGAGAGTTTTTTCAAACTGAAAGTTGAACATGAGACTTGAAAAGATCCTTTTACAAACTTCTGCTAATCAATGAATCTGTGTGATTAGTCTCTCCCTCACCACTGCTCCTACAACCCCCTCCAGCCAAGTGTCTTATTTCCATTAACACGGCCAGTCCCACTAATCAAGATGAAAGAAAAGGCTCAACTGCAGCAAAGGCAGAGGTGCTCCCTTTGCCACAAGCTGACAACGCAGCACGACCAGCAGTGTCAGCCCCAGCCAGGCCAAAGAACGTACTCTGCTTTGTCGGCCACCATCTTGATATCCCGTTTCTGCCTCCCTTAGCCTCCCTCTCACCTGTGCTTGCGGCTTGCTGCATGGGAGGGCTGTGATCCTGAGTGCTGGTAGGTGTTGGTGTGGAGGGCTGGGTGCTGCTAGGAACAGATGCCTCCTGGAAGTGGGCAAGCGGTGGTATCTGCGGTTTCGACGGTGCAACTGCCTGGCACTGAATGAGGTCTTCAGGGGGAGGGACAGGTAGTATGACAGGAGGAGAGCTCCAAGCGTCTTTGTTTACTAAGAGAACATCGACGGGACCACTTGTGCTCTTCAGATGGATCTGATATTTCTGCCCATTTAGGCCCTGAGAAAAGTCAAAAGCAAAACACAACCATACATTAAGTGCCCTTTTCAAACAGAACAGGAATTTCCCAGAGGCAAGACATGCTGTCCAGACAGTTCAGCATAGTTCCACACACAATTCCCCGGACTCCCAGCACTATTCTCTCCCCTGGTGCTCCTGCAATTACTCACGTACTTCCAAACCGAGTTTCCAGGCAATTATTTAATATCTGTAGCCTTCTGTGGGTTGTCGGTTCCTCTGACTCCATCAAAACCCCGACTGGCAACTCCCAGCTTGGTCAATCCAGCAACAACTCCTGCCCCAACACACCCACCCACCCTCCTGCACTCTGCCCACACATTTATCACTCACCTCAGGGATGGGAACCTCCAAACGCGTGCCTGAAGGGGCTCGAATCACAAGTAGGGTGTCCCCTGTGAAAACAGACTGGTCAGCACTCAGCACGCACAAACTGTTCTGAAGCGCTGACAAAGGATTGCCATTTACACCTATCTGAGCTGCTAAGCAGATCATACAGCTCCCAATGTGCCAACTGCCCAGGGCACAAAGAACCTGTGAAGTTTCTCCCAAAGCAACCCTGGAGGTTTTTTTAGCAGCATCCCTAACAGGACTAACCTTTCTTTCCCTCAGAAGGGCTGGCTTAAATTCACTCCTAAGAACATCTGAATCCTAAGGAAAGGATCCTTCATTCTGTTGTCACAAGCTTTTAGATGCAAATTATAAACAAAAGAGCGCACAACTCAAAGAGCTGCACTGCCAGTGGAGAGACAGCATCGAACTAGGCAGAGTAGCCAGGCTGCCAACAGCATGGCAACCTCATGCTGGAGTACCAATACCTGAAACCAACGCTCCCCAGTTCCTACTGGTAAGAGAGCTGCCTGGTGTTAGTTTTACTGGATCCTGCACAGAGCCCAGCACTTGTGGGACTGGGAGCCAGGCTGACAGCATCTTTCCTTTTCAAGTTCTGCAGCTCCTTAAGACCTGCACCCCTAACAACACAACAGTCACAGGCAAGCAGCTTCCAGTCCATATCTGGGTTTAGAGAAATGTGAACAGAGAAACACCAGTGCCGTGAACATTAGACATATTCAGATCGAGCAGTTAGCAGCTTTCATTCTGAATGTTTACTGTGGCTAATATTCACCCTTCACCGGTATTCTGCATTAAGCTTCACTTGATAATTTAAGACATAAGATCCCCAGAGCAATGACAGAGAGTGGACAGCAGAAGAGCACATCCTTTAATTCCAGGCAGGCAATCAAAGGTCAGATCAGCAAATGGTACAGGGATTAAAAATACCACAGGATTTGTCAATAAGACGGGATTCCTTTAACAAATCTGCACTAAAGAAAAGTATTGTTAAGAGACACTAAAAATGCGTAATAAAGCTCAAAGACACAAGCTCAAGCTTTAAGACCTGTTAGTTTCAAACACAGGTGCCACAGTTCTATCTCCCTTGATAGCTACATCCCAAATGTACACAGTGTGTTTCCGCTTCATTTTTGATTCTGCAAGTGCAAAGGGCATCACAGCAATAGATGGGAAAATGACATTTCCCAGCCACTAAAAACTAACATATTCTTACTTTTTTTTTTTTTTATTAATCCAAATACAGAATCCATGTTCGACAAGAGTCCAAGCATGGAAATCTTCAAGCCCTAACTCACTTTGAGAAAGCCAGTTCAATACCAGTCAATCAAAAAAACAGGAGCTGAAACTCTGCCTGCACCACAGTTCAAGAACATGAGAGGTCCAACAAAGAACCTCTGCAAGGCTCAGATGCTCAGGAGAGGAAAAAAAGAAAAAGTCATGTAAGGCATATTCATACCGGAAAACTGAACAGACAATGGAAAAACATGGATCAAGCCTCTGTTCTAGAAGGAATTCAGATCTGCCCTCAGTAAGATCTGGTCTCTGTGCATTTTGGTGAGGTTTGACTTCAGATGCAAACCAGTGTACAAAAACCAGGTGCAATAAAATGCAAAGCACTCAATCAACCAAGCAATAAGCTGTCTGCTGGTCTCCAGTAAACTCTTCCAGACTGTTACAAGTTATGCGGCCCCAAGCACTGTCAAACTGAAAACACAATCCCTGCCCCCCAAAAGGGGGTGGTGATGCATAAGTTACCAGCAGGAACTTGAGCAGTATATCTGGTGAACAAGGAAAGTACACAAAAGCAAAGATGAAAAACAGAAGAGCTGATGAAGCGTAGGGTGAGAAGAGTGCTTGGAAGAGATGAGGGTGAGATTACGCATGGCTGGGGGAGGTCAGGATAAGTAGCTTCAATCTCTGCTGCAAGTGAGCAGATGCAGGTTGCATGGGGTTGGGAGAGGTCAGGTGTCCACCGAAGCAGAAAGGAGCGGTGACTCCACACCGCTACAGACAAGAACAGTTTATGTACTGCAGGCTGCTGTACTGCACGCTGGGCACCGGGGATTTTTTATTTTTTTTTTTTAGTCCTACAGCTATCATTAAAATTGGCAATAGAGAAGAAACAGAGACTCCTGTGGGTTTTCTTCACTTTTGCCCCACAGAGACAGAATATATGGCTTTTTATCCAGGCATCTCACAGCTTTAGGAAGGCAGTACACAAGGGAGCAAGGTCACAGCAAGTGGTGTATTCCCTTCCGTCCTGCTCTTCACTACCTCCCTCTTGCATTCTTGTTGGTAGAGGGGACGATGCAGCTGAGAGACCACTTTTTATACTATTTTCCTGCTTACACCCAGATTTCTACCCTGCAATAAAATTTGCTTCCTATTGTTAGAACATTGTCCACCCAAGCCCTTCAAGTCAAGAGCTTCTAACATAACACACATACACCCACATATTGACATCCAGCAAAAAGATTTCCTTAGGGAGAGTAGTTCTGTTCCCATAAACACAAGTAAATGCCTGTCCCCTCTGATGGTGACAAAAATCTACGACCACTACAAAAGCGGTACACAAACCCAGGATGGCATCAGAGCTCACACTACATTTAACTTGACGCTGCTGGGCAGCCCGGGGTCCACTGCCTCCTCTCCCCTGGAGAAAGGAGAACAGCTGGGACAGACTGATAGGACTGCAGCGTTACATCTTTACGACGGAGCACCATTTCCTCACCTGTGAAGCACTTGCAGATATCTTCATGTGTCACATACGCTAATGTTTCCAAGGTTAAGGAGAAAGGCTGCAGCTTCCTGCACAGACAGAGAACTGAAAGGGCACCTGGCATTTCCTTCCTGAGCACAAGAAACACCATTCCCAGAAGGCTCTCCATGCCACACTCTGAAGTGGTCTGCAGGCGAGGTCTGCAAGCTCCACACTCGTCAGAGTTGACATCCTAAGGCAGGCAAGCCACAAGAGCAGCTCTGCACTCAAGAAAGTGGCACCTGTGACTCAGAGAGAAGCACTTTTCTCATAATGATAAACGTTACAGTGTTTTTTACTTCAAAAAGCCAGACAAGAAGCTGTGCACCACAGAGAAAGCTGGTTCCCAGGCTGGACAGTTACCCTAATTTCAGAGCCAGGTACTGCCTCTTGACTCTTTCAGTGCAGATCCTCCAGCAGCAACAGGTCACCACCACCACCACACCTCTGCCTGGAGTTGGGCAGCCCTCAGGTCTCTGCTTTCCAGCCCAGCAAGCAAACACAGAGACAGAACAATCAGTTCAGACAAAGGATATCGACTGTTCTGCACATCTTCTGTAACGTTTTTGATGCTCGGCTGAACCCACATCTTCTGCTGCTCCAGCTCCTGTTCCCGCTGCTCCAGGTCCTCTATGTCTGCCTTCAGCTCAATAAGTTTGTGAGCTATTTCACGCGTGTTGCAGCCAGGACCCACCCCTCTGGGCAAAGTAAAAATGAGTGATGTGCATCATCCTCTGGAGACACCCAGGCCAGCCCCAACCTCTCAGAGAGGTTGCCACCTCCCTTACTGCCACCCCTGTCACACATCAAGGCCAGATTGCCCAGAAAGCCTCATCTGTACCTGCTCTAGACCTCCAACTTCCAGCACAGCAACGTTTGGTACATCTTCCCACATCCCACAGACTGGCAGGGCTCTCCCCCACCTCCAGTGGCATGACAGGTATCTTTTCTAGCCCAAAGTGCCACAAATACTTAGTTTGTACCAAAATAACAGCTCCGCTGCAAAAGACACGCCATACGTACTTCAGCTTTCCTCATTAGTACCGTCAGCAGAGCCCAGCTGGAGGGAGTACAAACACACATGGACCACTAAGGAACTGTGCTTTGAGTAGGGCATTTTAACCCCAGTGTCACTTAGACCTGGACTAGAAGGGACCTGTGAATGATTTAGACCTTCTCTGTCACTCACTTCCACTGGATACTGTTTTTGGATTTCTTCTCGATCAACCCGATGCCTTCCAGGACATTCGTGATATCGTAGATCCGTCGCTTTTGTCGCACAGCCAAGGTATCCGCAGCCTGCAAAAAGGTTAGACACTTAACTCTCCAAACTCTCAGTCATGTTTCACTCCTTCCTGCCCGTCAGATTAATTCCTGGCCAAGCACTCTGCATGACATACCTCTCATGTCCCAGGGCCTCAAATTACAAAGCCATATTCTCACTGTCATTATGACCATGAGAAGCCACTGATCTTTCACTCCTTTTCTTGCCCTGCAACCTCCCCACTAAGCACAAACCAAATTCCAGCCATCCTGCTAGCGATGGGTCCAAAAATCACCACTCCTCAGCACCAAAGCAGCGCTAGAAGACACTAGCTCGGCAGCCTAAAAACTCAGTGCTCCTTCAGGGTAAAAGAGATGGGGACAGGAAGAAGAATGCAGAGAGCTGTCTGCATGACTGACAACAGTTTAGTGAAGTCGACATTCAAAAGGTCTTTTCTAAATCTGATCTGATGCCACTCAGTAGAGAATCAATGCCTTTTGAAGGGGCAGATTCCTCCGTTTGAAAAACACAACACTGGGAGGAGAGTAAGCACAGCTGTAAGGCAGGGGCTCCTGCACAGCCCTGGGACTTGCCTGCATTGCTCACACAACTCTCCTCCCCTCTGGTTTTGGGACACATCGGTCTGCACCAATATGCCTGTTTCCACTACCTCATGGCAACCAAGCACTGGCAAGGGTTAACGTGTGCTCCACCGGCATAGCCAGGACCAATGTCAGTTCCCTCTTACCTACCAGTAATGGACTGGGACTTCAGAGACCCTACACCGCACAACTGATCAAATCACACTAACCAATACGAATCCACTTAATGGACATTTTAAGCAGGAAAATATTGTTCAAATCCAAAGAGACAACAATTTGGCACAGGAGAGGATGGAAGCCTACAGGCAAGAGCCTCCTCCAGCCTTTGCATCTTCAGAGCTTTCTGGCACTTGTCTGCTGGCTGTGAAGGGTCAGGGTGCGCTCACACACATAACCTCCTTAGGGATATTTATATAAACCACAGCAAAGGAACTTCACCTATAGAAAAGGCCTAGGTTTAAATACTGTACATGCCCCAAAGACAGAGTTACTTCCTCTAGGTGATGATCTTCAAAATGCAGAAGCAAGGCACGTTCACAGGGCACTTCTCCACGGCCTAAAGGCATCAGGGACAACCACTGGCAGAGATGAATCTGACCATGCTCCCCTTCCTGCTGCATGCCAGGGGGCAAAGCACAGTAGGGAGGAACAGTTTCTATAGGTTTCTGTTTCTATAGGTCTTGGAGGCTTTACAGGGCCGGATTGCTATGGTGCCAGTGATCAAGTAGCACCTTGGCGTGGGGCAAGAACGTGGAAGAGAACAAGACAGCCAAACGGGGCTCCAGCTGAAGCACATAAACTCCTGAAACATCAGGCAAGGTCCGCAGCCTTCTCTTCCCTGGGGAAAGCAGAGCAGCTGGACAGATCGACAGGGTGGGGAGAACTCATCGGAAGGAACCAGCCGTAGGGGATAGCACAGAGCCCCC